CGAAGTCTTTTGGTTTCTGAAGGAGATAAACTGTTGAATTGACTTCCTTGAAAAGAACGAATTGTTGTGGGCAAGAGTGCTCCTTTGCTCACAGTTGTCCTTCTCTCGCCTGAGGAGTGGACTGATCAATGGTTTACTGAACTCCAGTACTGTTTGTTGGGTCAGTCGGGTTTGGTGTGTTTGATGCATGCAGTGAACAATATTGAAGTTCTCTTTGTTTCTTTATGGAAGCGCAGGAGCGGGGAAGTTGCAATGGGATAGTTTATTCCTCATTTTGAAGGGGCTGATGTCTGGGTTTATACTCATTCACCCAAAATAAGGCAATAACTTAGGATGACAAAGGTTTCCTTGAAGCCTGGTATGGTGGCACATACCTGTGGTTCAGCACTGGGGAGGCTGAGGCAGTAGGATCATGAGTTTGAGGCCAGCCTAGGTTATATGACAGGACTCTGTTTCCAAAAACAAAAACAAAAAAATTTTCTTTGAATGTATTGTAAAGGCATTATTATTACATATAATTTTTGCATTTTTCTAGCATATAAGAGAAAGTTTAGAGGACTAGTATAATTTAAGCCTTGGACCTGGAGAGTGTCTGAACATTCTAAATAGAAAACTTTTTAGTTTAGTTTTAGTTGATTACAATCCTGATTGCTTTGTGTCTTCAATTTTATACCTTATGCTGAGGCCTGAGCTGAGGTCAACAGGAATCTTTGGATGACTATGGAAAGATGGCCATGTTCAAGTTTAACGTGCAGTATAATGGCTTAAGGTCCACTCTAGGAAAGTGTTTGTATTTACCATCAATTTTTTTGGGGGGTATTGACATAATACACTTACAGTATTTTACAGTAGTTCACATAAAACTCCAAAGAATCACCTGAGATAGAGATTTATAGTAATGCTCAGTTTAGAAAATAGAGTTATGATTCAGTGGTGAATAAGACAAACAGTTCTTGTCCTCATGGAATTTAGAGTTGGGAATGAGATGGGGACAAATCATTACTATTGCCATAATCATAAGTCATTTGTCTTTTAGGCTTTTTCCCATTAGGGGAAATATTAGTCCTTGTCAAGAAAATCTGAAGTTCTTACTAAATTTTATTTAATTCTTGCAGTGCCTAAGGACCGATATTCTGAATATCGGATGATTCATTCTTTGGTTATCTCACGCTGTAACTACAGTTACTCAATTTCCAGAATTGAGCTGGCCACTGAAAACTCTGTTTTCGACCAAATTGCTAATATTGGTTTATTTTCTTTGCCTTTTTAAAAAATGCGTATTATGGAGAAAATTCCATTATGGCTTTAATTCCAAATGGCTTTAATTATTTATGTGACAGTGGTAGAGTCTTTATTGTATAAACTTTCTGGTATAGTTTATTACTGAAATCATTACCCTTTTTCATAATAATAGTGACAGCAGATTTTTACTGGAATTACTTATGATACTTAAAACACAGATTAGGCAACATATTAGGAAATTTACTCACCATTTTTTTCTTCCCAATTCTGACAATCTCTGCATTATCTTGGAAATTTATTTAAGCCACTACTAATACTGGGGTAGCATAAATTCACCATATATGGGCAGAAACCTGACCACCACTTCATCACACATGGGTATCAGTTGGTGACAATATTATGTTGTTGATTCTGTGTCAATAAGCCATTGAGTTGTTCCAAGTCAACGCAATCACGTTGTAACACGATGTGATGACATTTACAGCGCCTGGAAGTGATTTGGAGACCTATAAATGCCGAGCCAGGCAATACAAGTCAGGGCCAAAGGACTCCTGGTGCCACAGATAATCTGCTAAAGCATGTTCTGAAGTTCTTTTTTGCTGTGCTACAATCAGTTTAGTAGAGGAGACACAGTAGAAAGTTCAGCATCATTCTACCATGAGAGTCTTTGCAAATACCATGGATCTAATTTGTAGATTCACAAGTGAACAAAATTAGCTTTATCTTTGTGTATGAAATTAAAATTATGATAGGTTTGGGGGTGTTGCTCAGTGGTAGAATGCTTGTCTAGCATGCTTGAGGCCCTAGATTCAATCTCCAGCAACACACACAAGCGCGTGCACACGCACACACACACAGCACAAAATCATGTTCATACATTGGTAGAAATCTTTTGGTACTCTTGCTACACAATATTTTATTTTATTTTGCAGCTCCTCCTTTTTTTTTTTTTGCAGTGCTGGGGATTGAATCCAGGGTCTTGCACATGCTAGGCAAGTGCTTCACCACTGAGCTGGACCCCAAGCCATGCAGTTCTTACTTTTTGTTAGAAGCCATGCATGTTCACAGCTAAATTGTCAAGTTTCAGTTATGCATGGTACCTCACTATTCTCCTAACAAATGAACTATTGATAAAGCTCAATGCTTATGTAAAGAACAGTGTAATGAACTCCACCATAAGCATCGACATAACTGGTTAGAGCTGTCATCAGAGTTGCTTTGTTCATGTCAAAGCATCAGTTGAATTGTGTATACACATATACATATACATATAGGTATTTATGTACACCTAGTCTCTACTTTCTGAAAATATATACGTTTAGATCGATAAGTAATTTAGCTCTTAGCTGTGATTTGTGACTTGTAAACCTACTTAGCAACTGTACACCTGTCTGGTCTGGATTTGAGCCAGAGCTAAACAAGGATGAGTTGCCATTTTGTACCAACTTGAGGTTACGGTACAAGGTGCCAGGTGTAATTTAAATCAAGGTTAGGTGCAAGATACTCAGTCTTATTAAAATGAAGGATCTGGACTCTGTGAACCTTTGTATCCTCTCTTTCCTCTGTCTCCCCTGTTCTCTTTCTTCCTCTCTACTGCCTCTTCTTGCCCTTGTCATGTAAGAATTTGTTATTGTAACTTGTGGTAGTTAAGAACTAAATAACAAATCAGGGAGAAGGAATACAGCAAGGTGCTTATCTGACTTGGTTGAGATGATGTATTTAGTAGCTCACTTACGACCTACACAGAATTACCATATGTACCAGTTGGGTGTCACTTGTGTCTCCTACTACTGCAATTGTCATAATTTTCAATATCAAGCCTTTGTTCCTTTGCTAGCCTGGTGGTCTAATCTTGCTTATGAAGATGACCAAAATAATAGTGATGCTTGCAGTTTTACACATTCACATCAGTTTCACTGTGGTTAACTTGGGCCCAGTGAATCAGAAAACCTCTTGTTTCATGTGGTTAGCAATGCCCTTTGTGGTGTTCTGTCACACCATTTAAAACCTTTTAGCAGGAAAGCTGCCTTCTTGGAGATGTGTGCAATCATTTCTTTCTCATGAGTCTATTTTATATTGCTATCATTGGGATGCCATATAGGAATCCTTTTGGGCGATTGGAATTGGAAATCAGCTCTTGAATGGGGTGATTTATAGCCTTTGTATAGGGTATGTTAAATCATTAAGTGTTGAAGGCATTTTACTCTTTTCTGAAGAAGTTTGATTCATTGAGTCTTTATTTACTGCACCTGGCAGACTATCTTAAATTTTCTTCTGTGTAGATAGTGTTCTTTTCAACATCTTACAAGTGTAGCTCTTTTGCCATTAAAGATGTAAATAACCAGTTAACCTCTAGTGGAGGTTGGAGGTGGGGAGAGGAGGGTCTCGGGTTAGTTTTCTTCTGTGTGTAGGGGGAGTCCCTGTACAGGACCCTCAGTGACAGCACTGCATGAATTATCCAGGTAAGTGCAGAAAACACGCACAGAAATACAGCCTCAGTGCTTTGGTACTGGCTGGCAGAGGTTTTCATTACTGCGTGTTCTTGGTAAAATCTTGCAGATTCTTTTGAATGTTTGTGGCATTTGAGGGACTGTCAATTTATATTTATTGTGAGTGGATGTGGTTAAGGGTGGGAGGAGGACAATTAAAGAGATTTTTTTTTTTCATTCTGTTAATTATCCAGATGGGTAACGTTTGCACCACAAAGCAGGTGTGTTCAGGGATTTGGTTTTCATAGCAGCAATCCTGCACATGAATGAAGCATGCTTTGAGGATTTTCGGTGTTGGGCTTGTTTTTTTTTCTGGTGTGACCCCCTCCTTCCCTTTACTGGGTAAGCCCGTGGGCAGCTGTAAGCATTCCAGGGGGAAGCAGGCCTCCCTGGAACTTAGATTCTTTATCATGCTCCCAGGGGAGTTCATCTCAAGTTGCTGGTACCAGCAGCTGCGGCATGGTATTGCCCAATCCCTGGTCCTCTTATTGATGGGTGGGAAGGAGAATTGCTGTTTAAGAAGTTTTATTATCTTTAGAAGAGAAGAATTTATTATAGGGGTTTTCTTGGATGATCTCTTTCATGTGCGTTAAGACATTTTGAGCTCTGAATGTCCCAGCTCCTTAGAGGTTCTGAGTTGATCTCCACCGAGGGTGGTACTGCCACCTTCAAGGAGTGTTTGGATGTGTACAGGAGTTTTTTTTTTGTTGTTATGGTGACTGGGGGATAGGGGTGGGCACTACTGGTATTCCTCAGGTGGGAGCCAGGGATGCTCTTCATCTTGCCTTGCTCAGGATGGTTCTGCAGGCTGAGTAATTGTCCATCCCAAATGCCAGCGTGCCCTCCCAGGACCCCCTGAAGTGCGGCTTTGTGTAGGATGCTCTGTAGTGCTGATGGACCGCCTGACTGCAGGGTGGGCTCTGCTCAATGAAAAATAAGAGGGAGGTGAGTGACTCGGGGAGGGGAGAAAGGCAGGTAGCTGGGGTTACATGGAAATGGAGAAGAGTAGCCCGGCTCTGAAAGGTAAAAACTTAAGTCAGTTCCTCTTTTCTCAGTATTGAGTGGCTATTTGAATAGTGCAGCCCATTATTCTGATGCCTTTTGGTCATTGAAAAGGCACTGTATTTTAATTACTAAATCAATATTGAAGCAACTTTTGAGATGAACTCATTGTCTGGCTGATTGAATTCTGTGGACTAACTGCTCAGACATGTTCAGTTTGGAGAGGAAAGTTGGCCAAAGTCACTAGGATTTCAGTGATGGCACGCTATGGAAGCTGTTGACAATTTGCCATGCAAGAAAATCTGTCTTGGATGTGGCGTAGGGTACTTGGAGGGGCTCCAAGGTGAGACCCATCTTTGCTAGCAGCCTCTTGGGGAGCTGCCCACTAGCCTTCTCATTGGCTCCTGCTCTGAGTAAGGTTCTGGAATGAGCTTGATGTCTGAGCCTTTTTCATGATCAAAGTATGGATGCTAATTCAGGCTTACCTGTCCAGAGCAGCCTTTAGTTTAAATGTAGTTACTGCCATGAGTGATCACTCTCCCACCCATTTGATGTCATTTTTATTTGTTTTGAGACAGGATCTTCCCATGTGCCCAGGCTGGCCTCAAACTCATGATCTTCCTGCCTCTGCCTCCCAAGTGCTGGGATTATGGGCATGTACCACCACACCTGATGATGTTGATGTTATCCTTTTGCTTGGTGTTCAAGTCTCTTTTGTTGTCCATCATCTCAGCTTGTTGTCCACCACCCTCCCAACGGTTCCTCTGCTGGGGACCATGGAGGCCTATTCATTTTACTATTTATCCTCAAGTTGCTTCAACCCCAAGCCAAAGCTGACACTCTTCTTCATCTTCCCAATAGCTGCTCATCCACAACTTCCCAGGACAGTCCCCTTCTCCTTTACAAAGACTTCTCTGAGCACTCCAGCTTGTGGAGCTAGCTACACCCCTACCCACATGGTCAGCTGGTTTTAATGGAGTCTACTACTTGTTTGGAACCAAGTTGCCTACTACCATGTGGCACAGCTTTGGAGTTACACTGTCTAGGTACTTCAGTATCCATTAGCTGTAAGATTTGGTCAGGCCTTAGTGTGCTGGTCTATGTGAGAACAAGCAAGACAACCATGAAAATGACTTACTCCACCACTGGCAAGTTGTGGGTGAATGAGAGCTGTCATTTGATTGGTGGGAACCAGGATGATGAAAACACAAAGGTGCTGGAATCACACAGCTCCTGGGTCTGAACTGGACTGACACCTTCATCTATGTGGCCCTGGAGGAAGTTGGTTATCACTGTGGCCCAGTGTCCCCTTCTATTAAATAAGGATAAATCATTTTTCATACAGTTCTAAAGTATACAGCTTAGTTTATTGTCAGACACACAGTAGATGCTCAATAAATAGCAGGTATATTTGTTACATGGTATTTAATTTATAATGCTTAGGTAACATTTGTCCCCAATAAAAATGGGCCATATCTTGTCTTTTGATTATTCTACAAACCCTACAACAATGTTCTGCACATGGTAGCTAAGAAGTTTTTCTTTGTGACTTTAGTGAATCTGATATATTCTTTTGGTTCTGTTTTTTTGACTTTTTAGAAATAATTGATTAATTTTAACAGAAAAAAGAAAAAAATCAAGTATTAGCTTTAAAAATCCAGGCTTATCAATTAAAAAATGAATATGTATGTCATTAGAAAGTTTAAATTTGTTTCTGTTTTTTAAAGTTGCATTTAAATGATGTGCATACATCAATTGGTTTCATGGGTTTTGTTTCTAAATCTTTGATATTTGGAAATGTTTCCTCCTTCTCTTTGTTTTGTTTTTTGAGACAGGGTCTCACTATGGCTGGAAATGGCCTCTTAATTGTGTTTTGTTTTAACAAAACATCAAGGCTCTGAAACAATAGTTTAGAACAACAGTCTACCTAATGGTTTGTAGACTGGACTCAAAATATAAAGTAATTTCAGCCCCCTATTTGGTAATCTGTTATGAACACCAGATAGTTAAAGTGTTCCCTAGAAGGGAAGGGCATGGACTTGGTTCAGTTCCGTTGAGTCCTTGACTGTCCTTGACTGTTCCACCAACTGACTCAGTCAGGGTGGGGCCTTCCACACAATTTCTTACCCTTAGCTGTCATTGCTGCAGTAGAAGTAGGCAGGTGACACTAAATCTTTAAAAGGAGACGGGCTTTCTTTATGTATGCCAGGTGTGGGGAGTTATAGTAAACTATAAACCAAGTTATAAATATTAAAAATCTGTCTATCAATAACCAGGTAATCAAAATTATGGACAGAAGGAATGAAGTAAAAATTTGGACAATGTTCCACTGACTACCCCTTGCCTTTCTCTCTGAGAATAGAATTCCTGGAAAGGAAAAGAAACTAAATGAGTAAAAGTTAAAAGAGCAAAGCTGTTATTAATGTGACACAGTGCTTTTCTCTTTCTTTTATAAGCTTCTGCATTGTCCTTATTTCAAATCCTTGCAGGTTTCGTTTTTCTTCCTGTTTAAGGGAGAAAGTAATTCCTATTTAAAATCTCATTGTTTGCTCTGATGGTTTTAGCTATCTCTGATGTAGCATACTCTCAACAGATTGACTTTTATGATGAGGAGTCCTCACTGCCTGACGCAGATGCATTAGCATCCTGATCTGCTCAGCGCGGTAGCAGAGGCTGAAAAGGGAAGAGAAGCGAGCTTCTCAATCCAGTGCTGTTCCTGCCCTGGAAAACGTCTTCGCTCTTCTGAGCACTTGCTGTTACTCTAATATCTTATCTTAACACAATCTTAGTTCAACACTTAGATCAGGGAGCTTGGGATATGGCTATTTTTAAGGAACGTATTACTTTAAAAAAAAATACCTTCGGGCTCTGTATGGTTTATGCCTGATAAAATTTTCCTAAAGAGTTGAAGCTCCTTTTTATTTTTCTTTGTTGCAAACTTTCCAACACCCGAGAATTTTTTAGTGCGTAGTAAGTCATAGAGTGGACTACTCTTTCTTCTCCAAACACAGCATGAGCACAATGAATTGTAAGCCAGTCCAATTAATGAACTCAGCTATATTGGTAGATAGCAAGTTTGGAAAGAACTTAAAATTTTACATTCATTATTGAGTTTATGGAGTTTTGTTTTTTTTAAATTGTGCGTATGTGTGAAACAGTGGTCAATGTGGTATGGATGCTGGTGTAGAAATGTCAAGTTCAGATCCTTGCTTTGTGCATATTTGCTGTTGGATCTTGGGCAAGTTACTGAATTACTCTGTGCCTCAATTTCTTTATTTGTAAAATGTCCATAATAATGGTGTCTATCTCATTAGGTTGTTATGAAGAGTAATAGTAACCTTTGCAGGACTCGTGAGTCAAGGCTACTTATTTAAAAGAAAACATTCAAAAAGTAATGTGCATTTAAGCCAGCAGACATCGACAGCACTTGCAATTGTTGTCAGACCAAATTTAGACCTTTCCACTAGCTGTCTTTAACAATGCGTAGTCTCTTTATGAGAGAATGAGTGACAAGCTTCTGACACCAGTGAGCATTTTAGCTGGTTGCTGAGAGGCCACCCTGCATTGATAAAGAATCTGTTTGTTTTTTCTGGAGAGATATTTCCAAACAGTGGTCATTTGGGAGTTATAACAGGCATGAAAGTTACCATTGAAAAGGTGAATTTGACAAATGATCATGGATTTGTTGATAAGTTTGTAGATAATGGAGGGATTGGGAAGAAGTTACTTAATTGCAACATTTTCCATCAGTTTCAATTTTTATGTGTGCAGTTTGAATTAATTGGCATTAAAATGCTTTAAATAATAACTTTTGGGTTTCCACTTTGTATTCTTTTCATGATATGTGTAACTTGGTATTTTAGCAAAAAGAAAAAACCCTCAATTTGACTTACAAAAATAGTGCTTACAAAATAGCATTCATTCTATGTATTTTCAAAACAGGCAACATATTGTTCTGAGAATTTTCTTCTATAGACTCAGCTTCTAAGTTTGCACTTTTCTTTTTTTTCTGCAGCAATACGAAATTCTGTAAGTGGACTGTCCCTTATAGTTATTATAATTTTTCAATGAGAAGTGAGTAGATATCAAGGGAGACAAATGTGTTATGTTGGATTACTAACAATAGATCTAATTGATAAAAGTGATTTAATATATGTGTGTTAATAGCCAAACCTCTGAAGCCCCTAATCTCCCATGGAAATATTGCTTTGTAGAACAAAATCCAATGAGAAGTTCTGGGATTCCAGAGTGAATTTGTACATTCCTTAGGGGCATTTTTGCAAGGGAGGTTGTTGTGTTTTAAAGGTAATTGATAAGAGACCTGCACCACCAACCCCAGACCCGCACCACCAACCACCATCGTGCATTAGGCTATAGAAGGTATTTGGGTGTACGTATTCCTGTACCACTCGGTACCATCATTTAACCAAGTGAAGTTTCTGACCATTTGCAGCATACATTATAAATCAGGATGTCACTAGCAGACAATCAGATTTGAACATTCCATGAACAAAGTAGCCTATATCCTAGGAATAGATCACTTAACTATGTTTATGTCACGCTGTTGACATGCCTGCATTTACACAAGTCAGGATAACACATTGTTTATTTGTTCTAGGAGTAAGTAATTGATCTGTATATTTACAGAATTTGGGGTTAATTAGCCCAAAATTGAAATGGGTAATTTAGCATGATTGCTTAAATGAAGGAGAAAATAAACTTATTTTTCCAATTCTGAAAATTATTCCCCTATCCCTTGGGTTTGTGAAAGAATAGTTTTGAGTCTTCCCTAAGTTGGGCTGATGTTGGCTGTTCTCTAAAAATAAAAATTTCCTACTTCTCACAGAATGCATAAGAAGGTCACTGGCTAGATATTTGAGGAAGCTTAGAGGATTTCCAACTGCCAAATTAGTCTCCTGGAGAGACCCAGGAAAATTGCAGGATATATTTGTTGAATGAAATGAACTTAAGTCATATTCTCTTCCCAGTGATGAGTGAATTTCAGCACTACTTGGGGATGGAGCAACCTTTAGTGCTAAATTTGTGCATTCTGGTTGGCTGCTGAAAATTTATTTTGCCTTAAAAAATATTTGTGAGTTGAGGCTATAGCTTAATGGTAGAGTGTTTGCCTAGCATGTGCAAGGCCCTGAGTTCAATCCCCAACACTGCAAGAAGTAAAAATTAAAAAAGAAAAAAACAGACAGAGCTCTTCTGTGTGGCACTTACTTAATAAAAGCAAAAAAAATTATTTACAGAGACGAGCTTATAGACTTGGCAACTTACAAATTAGTTTTAAAAAAAAAGTCAAAATATTGGTCTGAATCTAAAATTGGTGGGTTTTATAACTTGTTATATATATATATATATATATATATTATATATATATATATGACAGTAATAAAAAGCCACTTGAATAAAAGGAGGAGAAAAAAAAAAAGCACCGTCAAACAAATGACTAATTACTCAGGACATTATCAGTGAGAGATAGCCACTCTTACCATTCTGCTCTGTTTTGATACTTTTCCCCCCATATGTGATTGCTATAGCTAAAAGTTCACACCCTTGTCCTTGTCTACATTATGTTGTAAATAATCCTCCAAATCATTCATAACCATTTTTATAAGTTCCTAACACATCAAGATATAGTTATCAGAAAATTTTGTCTTTTTCTTAGTGGGCATTTAGAAGTTGCAACTTTTTATTATAATGTTGTGATGAAAATATTTATACTACATAAATCTTTGTCTAGTTCTCTGGCTAGTTCCTTAGAAAAAAATACCTAGAAGTAAAAGTACTAAGTAAAGAATAAACACTTTAAAAGAGTAAGGTGCATGCTGCCAAATGTCTCTCTTGACTCCATCGAAGTCTGACTGACTGTATGAAAATGACTTTCTTGCAGAAAGGAGAATATTTGTTTTTCTCCAAATATTTTATAATTATGAAAAATGTTTTCCTAAATTTATAAATAATATGCATTCCTTTGATTACTAATTAGTTGAATAGTTCTTAGTTTTTATCCAAAATTTCTGTCTCTTTAGTGCAATGTCTGAGTGTTTTAAAACTGTCTTTTTGTATTGCAGGGTGTGACAGTGGACATTTCCGCTGTGGAGATGGGAACTGTATCCCTGCAGCCTGGAGGTGTGATGGGACCAGAGACTGTCTGGATGACACAGATGAACATGGCTGCCGTAAGTGAGCCCTGTTTTGGGTGACATAAACGTCTTTGGTGATTTCAGCTGTAGCAGAGAGGAGCTGAGCTTTGGTGATAGATCCAAGGCTGGGCACATGTCTTTGAGATCTGTGTGGTTGAGTAGAGAACGGCTGGCATCCAAAACAGCTTCTCCCCCTTATGGGGAAGTGGCTCAATTTCTACCAGTTCTTGTCTTACCCTCCCTGTGTCCAACCTTGACATGGAAACAATTTGTACTGGGTTTTCTGAAGTCTGTGATGGGCTGTTGCTGATTCTTCACTCTGGAATATTTCTGAGAAGGTGAATGTAATTCCTATCTTTGCTCCTGCACAGATAAGGTTTTTATCCTCTGCTTTCTTTCAAGATTTTATTTATCTTATTTTTTATTTTTCAGAGGTATTGGGAGTTTTGAACTCAGGGCCTTGCATTTGTTAAGCAAGTACTCTACCACTGAGCCACTCTCCCAGCCCTTTTTGGCTTTAGTTATTTTTCAGGTAGGGTCTCACACTTTTTCCCAGTCTGGCCTTGTACTATGATCCTCCTACTTTGCATCTTGCAGAGCTGGGATTACAAGTGAGTACCACATGCCCAGCTTGTTTTTGAGATAGGATTTCACTAACTTCTTTTTGCCCTGGCTGCCTACAACTGGAATCCTCTTGTCTCCACCTCCTGGGATTGCAGGTGTGAGCCACCACACCTAGCCCTACATTTCTTTCATGGAATAAATGGATCACTAGGGAGATAACATGCTGTTACATGTTATGTCTTATAACAACAATAATATCAATAATGCCAATGTCAGTATTAATAACAGCTAGCCTTGTATGGCTCTTTCACTTACATTATTTAACTTATTTTTATAACAAATCGCGAGGTAGGTATAGTGTCCATTTTGTGATGCATGCATTAAGGCTCAGAGAACTTGCCAAAGATCCTAAAGTAAGTAAATAGTGAAGATAATAATTGTTGGAGTTTTGAGCTTCCTTTCCAAATCTTATGGATTTTTCTATTTTGTCATGATACTTTACTATTAGATATTACAAAACATTTCAAATAATTTAACAAAAACTTGTGGTTGATTTTTCTTTAGATTAAAATTTAACTTGATAATCTCATCACAAATATATGTGCATGTGTGTTTGCTTTAGTTTGCATCATTAGTTTGTTCTGATGCCATTACTGAGATCACCTGACGGTGAACTTTGAGTAGACTCTAGTACAAAGGCTGTTGAGTATTTGCCTTCAAATATCTTGAGTAGGACTTGGCATACATTCTTTTGAAGCACTGTTGTTGGTGTCATGAGGCAGGTGTTTGTCATAATGAGTGCTGTTTTGGTTTGTTTTAGTTCACTCTTCCTGCCAGGCAGGCTATTTCCAGTGTCAGAGCGATGGGAGCTGCATCCCGCGCTCCTGGGTGTGTGACCAAGATGAGGACTGTCCCGATGGCTCAGATGAACATCAGCATTGTCGTAAGTATTTAGAGAGGAATCTTCTATTGGTTCTTCACACACCTAAAATCTAACCTGTCACAGATAGGTTCCGCGCAACGGGATGATTCTTTATAAGTGTCGAGCTGGGCCCTAAGTGATCAGGGAATGCAGGGTAGCAGTCTCATTCAGAATTTGGATTCCACTAAAAGTGGGGATGTAGTAAAGATTATGGATTATGTTATGGTCAAGAAAGGAGAAAAATATGTATTAGAGTCTTCATTCACGTGGCTGAGCCGTTCTGTGCCTGAGGTATCCTGCATTCAGACCTTTCATCACTTCTGCCCCACTATTAATTTCTATTTTAGTTTGTATTTTATTTATTTTGTAAATTTTTGGCAGCACTGGGGTTTGGACTGAGGGCCTCACACTTGCTAGGCAGGTGCTGTACCTCTTCTCCAGGTGGAGCGGAAAGTAGGAGTTGGTAGGAGGACCTGCTGGAGACATTGCTGGCTGTGCCTGCACTGACTGCTGTTGTAGCTACCATAGTACGGGCTGAAGCAAGAAACAAAGCAGTGACAACCAGTGGCTTGGCCAGTGCTGCAGCCAGATACTCTTCAGGGCTAATCTTGCCCTTCTCAGGATGTCACTGGCCCTCTAGGTTGATGAGACCCAAATCTATTCTTAGGTCCCAGATTTTTTGCCCTCACTTTAGTCTTGTATATAGATAGATTTCTGGAAGTGGCAGGCAAGATGTAATAGGTTAGCAGGAAGAGGACATCGCAGTCCTCCTGAGCCCTCGTAGCAGCTTGGAAGCTGGTCTTGAATCTTTCTTCTCCATTACTGCCCAATTTCATCACCACTCCTGCCTGATTCGCCTTATGCACATTTCTAAAGCCAAGCCCTCCTTTTCCATTTATGCCCCATTTACTGCCAGCCTCTCTCATCTGGGCGGTGGCAGTGTCTGGGCTGGCCTCCCTGCCTCCATTCCTGGGTCTGCTCAGGTTCTCCCTGACACTGATGCTGGAAAGATCCAACCCAAACCTTTTGTCCAGGAGAAGGTTCCAGAGCCCTCACACGGTTTACAATGGCAGTTACAATGTGGCTGGTGCTGACTTTTCTTTGTCTTTCTCTGGCTGCTCCTGCTCTGGAAGGTCCACTGAGGCACAGCAGTGCTTGCAGGTCCTGCTCAGCCTTTTGCCTCTGTGCCTGCTGTTTATTGCTCATTGCTAGACAGTCCTCTTTTCTTTGGGCCTAGCTGACTGTGCAGGGGAGGTGTCACATCCTCTGGAAATTGTCCCAGTCCATGTTGTTGTCCTAGAAGGAATGGGGTTGGGGCACCCTCCCTGATGCTGCTTCTGTGATGCCTGTGTGCATGTGGTCCACTTTCACGCTTGCCCTCGAGTTATTTCAACCTCCCCCTCAGAAGACTGGAAGCTCCTTGAGGGGAGGGACTGTGCCTTCTTTTTCTTTTTTCTGAGTCTCCCTATGTAGCCCAGTCAGACATTGAAGTGGGGATCATTCTGCCTCAGCCTCCTGATGCTGGGATTACAGGCATGTGTCATCATGCCCAGCTCTTATTGATCTGCACATTCCTGTAGTTAGTGTAGGTTGTGGCACCTAATAGGACCTCACTAGATAAGTGTGTAATGAATGAGTAAAGGCATTTAAGTGCTAGATTGGTGGATGGAATTGTATGATTTTTGTCAGTCCTTTTTCTACATTGAGTGAGCTTTTAATTACTCCCTCATAAACCCTTGGAAATCTTAAGTTCAAAATGTAGAGTTATTTTTGCTTGATCTTAAGAAAAAAGCCATGGAAGTTAACACAACACTGGTAATTTGTTTTAATTTTGTTTCATATTTTAAGACCACTCATGATTTGCGTTTTCAGGGCTGAATGGAAGCTTATTAATGTTTTGAGGAAATTGGCCATATATACTTAAGTAAGTTATTTGAGAGTTAAATGAGAAAGTGTTAATCTTTTAAACCTTATTCAGATAAAACCTTGTCTCTGCCATTGGTAGAATTCAGACATTTAAGTGCCTGTAGAAGAGTCTATCCATTCTGTCCTTATTATGGAAGATTCATGCCATAGGCACACAATACTAGGAGAAAATATGAAACAATCATACAAAAGTGACAGAAATAGCCTGACTGGAAAATTTTCCTTTGCTATTTAAGAATTCCATGACATGTTCATAGTGAAACAAATAGAAGAAAGGACCAAAGTGACAAGAAAGATGTAAGCAATTAAGCATGGAAAATGGTTTTTTTTTTTTTGCATTTTATTTATCACATGATAATATCTATGTTTGAACTTTCAAATACACACTCTAAAGCTGTCATTTCCTTTTTCTTTTTTAGGAAGGTTTTTCTTGTTAATCCCTGATGGCACATTCCTTTACAGATACCTATTCCTTTTTTCCAGAAACCAAGTTTTCCTAAACCAAAGTATTTATTTATTTTTATTTATATATATTTTTTGTGGTGTGGGGATTGAAACCAGGGCTTTGACCATGTTGGACAAGTGCTCTACCACTTGAGCTCTACCCCTGACCCTGCCGTCCTGGGGTTTGAACTCAGAGCCTTGTGCTTGTGAGGCAGGTGCTGTCTGCTTGAGCCATATCCTCAGCCCCCTAGGTATCTTTAGTACAGAGTTATAGGAAGTTCTGTCAAAGTTCTGGGGAAAACCTTTTTTTTTTTTTTTTTTTTTTACTTTATTAGAGGGTAATATTCTTTTTTAGAATGCTTCTCTTTTTTATGTGGACAATTTAAAAAATCACATAGTAAGACAGTGTTACCAAGCTGAGGTAATTCCTGCCTACAGAATAGTTTTCCCTCATAGTTGTTGGCTCCAGTTCATTTTATTTTATCCTTTTTGTCCAGGTTAATTTGATGAATTGCTGAGACTCACCTTTACTAATCAATGTAGGATAAACTAAAACTCTTTCCATAACTTGACACATGGTCAACATAGAAAGTTTATAAAACAGAGAATACTATAAAGAAAAAGTCACTCTTATTCTGACCATTCAGGAATAGCCATTATTATCCCTTAGGCAATTGTCCTTGTTTGAACAAGGATATGATGATGGAGTACGGGGTGCTTACCAATCCTTGGTTGACATTTATGCTCCTTCCCATGTCTTTCCAGTGTATCTTGAACTCTCAGCACACATTGCTGGTATCATTGTCTACACTAGTATGCTTGATTGTTGGCTATTTGGTGGGTATTTAGATAATGTAATACATTTGCTTTTGCATTGTAAGTCCAGCCCCGGGGTTAGCTGGGTACTCTGCCTGTGTCCCTGTGAACTTTTTGTTCCATATGCTCTCTGCTTGCCTTTGCTTTCCAATATCCTTATTACAAATTAAGTACTGTTTGTCCCCCTCACAGCTGGGACGACCTGCTCAAGTCATCAGCTGACGTGCTCCAATGGTCAGTGTGTTCCCAGTGAATATAGGTGTGACCATGTCAGAGACTGCTCAGATGGAACAGATGAGAGAGACTGCCGTAAGTCAGCTTCAGTCTTTGCACTGTATTTGGTTTCACCCTTGTCCTTGGCATTTTAATCAATTTGTTAGATTTGTTGATGGACAGAAATGTCTACAATACGCCTTTTGTTGTTCAAAATCTCTTGGTAGATTCTTTTGTGGATTAGGGTGATGTTCTGATAGGAGTCTGTTTTTAACAAGACATTCTAAGTTTGGCCTGCTTTAGCACATCAAGTTTTTGTATATTTTGAAGTAAGAAACTAACATTAATATTGAATGGGATTCCAAAAGGTCACAGAATACATTTGGTACAAAATCTAGTTTAGTCAATTTTAACTTTGAATCCCTTGCTGTGGCAAGTTTCTAAGCAAACTTTCTCATTAGGTTTTTCTGCTTTTGTGGACTGAATGTTTTCCATATTCTTTTTTGGAAATGTTACATTTTGAAAATGGTTTTCCTGGGCCATAGATGTACCTCAGTGGTAGAGTGCTTGACTGGCATGTGCAAAGATGTGGGCTCAACTTACAGCAGTACCAAAAAATGGCTTTCTGTGGAATGACAATTTCAGTCACAAAATAAAAGGTATAGTATTCTACATATAACGTATAAATATCACCCCGACCAAAACACATAGATAAAGAAGAATCTGTCTCTCTTGAGGTTTATGCAAAACTGTTAAAATATAAGAACACAGAAACTGTCTCCTGTCTCAGTGTGATAGTCCTTTCTAATATTTTTAATCTCAGAAATAACCAGTTTCTTTTAAAAATCTATCATTTATGGATTTCCCCAGAACTTCTTTGGGTTTTTGAATACTTTTCCTGACACTCCTTTTAGCACCTGACTGCATTTCTTAAGTTAATTATGTACTGAATAGACATATTTCTTTTCCTTTACTCTTAAATTTATTTTTTAAAATTCAGGGAGTTATTCCAATATTCTAATAACTGGTGAACAGGTTTTGTGTACCTTAGACACTTTGGTCAAAAATTTAAAATTTGAGTTTTAGTCTATTCTTGTGGGATACCACATCTGTTATTTGATCATTTTGATTTAATTTTATTCTCTGGACTGTCCCTAAATTCTTCCCTTTGATCCAAATGGTATATGTGATGCCTCTTGATAGAAGGACTATCTTCTATAATTTTTTCTAAACTTTCCAATATGGTGAAGTGTGGGAGCTAGCACATATTTGCTATGGTGAAAAAATTGTTCCTATTCTGTACTGTTAATGGAAGAAATAGTGCATGTATGAAAAGGAAAGACCTGTGCCTAAATAAGCCCGATTTATGCTATAACCACACCACTTTATGATTTTATTTTATTAAAATTTCTTTCGTGTGATACTGGGGATCCAACACATAATCTTGCACATGGTAGGCAAGCATTCTACCACTGAGGTACATCCCTATCCACACACTTGTACAATTTTTAAAACAGTAATTCTCAAATTTTCTCCCCTTGCATGTCACTTATTTGTTTTTGAGAGAGCTGTCTGGGCTGTCTGTCCCTCCATTTTCCATAGCAGAGTTCCTGGTAGTTATGTTCTGGAATAATTTCGAAATCATAATAGCTCTCTTTCCAAAGAATTATGGTGTCTCCAATTTGAGTTTCCCTTGAACTTGGAAACTGTGCAGAGAGTTTGTACTTTACACTGGCAGTTTTAGAGATGATAGCGTGTATCAGGATGCCACAACATAGCAAGGTCAAGAGTCAAAGATTTTCACTCTTTGTGGAGCAAACACTAGGCCTTGCATTGAAGCAAATGAAGAAAACACTTTTGATTCACAATGGTGATAAATGGTATGTTTTGTAAATTTCAGAGCATTATATAAATCCCAGTTATTATTGAGTTCCTTAATGAGAATAATGGGGCAGGCATTAGTCTACTCTCTTATAAATAAGGAAACTTAAACTTCCCAAGGTATAGACTGGCTGGTTCAAGATTGGATGGCAGAGCTAGGGCACAACCCAACTTCCTATTCCAAGTCTGGTGACTGCAATTCATGAAGGACTTTATTTGCAGAACGGGAAAGACCTACCTTGTGCAAGTCCAGGAGAGCACTACAGGCCTGTGTCACTAGCCAACAGGCCCTGTCTTGATCCCTTATTTACAAATGGATAAAAATGAGGGCTTTATTGCAAGTGGAGTGGAGCTGAGGGAAAGGTACTTTGGGAAAATAAAAGGAACTGAAGCTGACTGCTTGGAGGTTTTCCATGTGAGCACCCCACAGCCAAGTCTGAAGTTGCTCCTACAACTGCCTTGCAACTTTGCCAGGAAGCCTTCCGGAAAAAACCTGGCAGGACATGAGCCCATAGTAGCTGTGATAGAAGAGAATGAAGGGAAGGAAGTAAGCTTTATAAAATATCTGCACAGGAATTTTTAATCAAAATTTTTTTATTAAAAATTTTTTTCAGTACAAGTAGGTGATGAAATAAGGATTCCTTAAGGAAAGAGATACAGATTTATAGCAAATTGTTTCTGGAATGACATGAGTCACACTTCTTCAGGGAACATAGTGGCCCTAAAATATTCTCACATATGGAAGGGGTTTTGCTGCTAGAAGGTATTCTTTAGTATTTCCTTCTATCTTATTTATTCGTTGCTATGTTTTATTTATGGAGGAGTATTCTTAAAAAACTCACAGATCAGAAAAAACTAAGAAACAAATCTTCCTATTTCCTTGTTAGTGCTTTGATCTGGTCACAGCCAGATGCACACAAGAAGAAATGAACGGCTGAGATCAAAGTTCTTAGAAAGTGCTAGTATGGGGTAGGGCAGGACTAGCCCCATTTTTGTTTCTCTCTTTACAGCTCTTGTGGAGAGTGGGAAAGTGAACTGCCATTCATGGAGCACCAATCACAATTTTATACACTTTTCATATCAATACTGCAGGGAAGTGTAATAGCCATTCCCACCTTATAGAAACTATAAGCTCTAATAAAAAATGATCCTGAGTACAAAGGATTCCTCCCCCCAAAGAAAAAGATTATCAGGAAACAAAGGTGGAGGAGGCAGGATTTTAACCTAGATCTAAACTGTATGTGCATGCTCTTTTCTGAGAGCATTTATTTATTATTATTTTTTATTTATTAATTGTATTCGTTATTATTATTAATCTCAGAAAACCTTTTTCTGAGAGCATTTATTTATTTCTTTACTTTTTTTTGAGTCAGGTTGGTTTCAAACTCATGATCCTTTTGCTGCTGCCTCTGGAGTGCTGAGATTACAGACATGCAGAATAATTTTCTTTAGCAATGAAAGTTTATAAAGTATTTTTGCCTGAAGGTTACTTTGGTATTTTGTTGTTTTAAAAAATTATTGCTTAAAGTTTTTTATTATAAGATTTTTTAACATATGTAAAAAGCGCTATGAATTGTATACTGAATCTCTCAGTATATCAACTGTCAATTCATGACTAATCTCATTTTACCTACATTCATTTATTCCTCCCCACTGTTTCAAAGTAATTCTCAGAAACATATAATTTCACATGTAAATATTTTAGTATTTTTCTCTAGAAAAATAGAAGTAAAAAATATGACCACAATATGGTTATCACACCTAAAAATTAAAGTACTATTCTTTAAAAGAGTTAGACATCTAGTCAGTTTTTAAATTCCCCAACTGTCTCCTCATTTCATTTACAGCCTGAGTATTTAACTCCAGATCCAAATAAAATCTTTATTTTGGGTTAGTTGATACATCTCTCTTCTAGTTCTGTTCTTCACTCCTTGCGATTTATTTGTGAGAGAAACCAGGCCACTTGTCTTGCAGCTTCCCACAGCCTGGCTTTTGCTTGTTGCATCCTCTCATGTCTTTTAACATGTTCCTCTGTTCCTTGTATCTCCTGGATCTAAAGCACAGTTTCTCAACGTTGACAGTAATGACACTCAAGGCTGGATGACTTTTATAGTTCATTGTGTGATATCTGTCTGTGTGCCTCATACCTGCAACTACCCACAATGCTTCAAATGTTGTCAAGTATCCTTTGGGAATAAAATCACCCCTTGCTGCTCCTGTTGAGAATGAATAACGTAGAGGCTGAACAGGTGCATGGACTTTTGGAGATGGGTGTTGATGAAGGACACGGTACTTGTATGTAAGGGCATTTACTCCTGTTAGGAGGCATGCCATGCCTGGCTGTCTCTTTGGGATGTTAGTGGGCACTGATGGAGATGCATCATGTCACAGCGCTGCTCAGCTATTTTAAATGTCATGTTAGACCTAGAGCAGCTGTCTTTGGTTGCTGTAGAGGGCTCCCACATGATTGACGCTTAACTGAGGCTTGACCAGAAATCATGATGCTTTAGTCTCTTGTTTCTGAAATTATGATGCATACAATTCATTATTTGTGGCTAAACTTAGAATTAGCTTATGAATATGACTTTGTTTTTACTTTTTAAAATTAGCATATATTAATAGTACAAGGGGGTTTCATTGTGATAATTTCTTTTTCTTTTTTTGGTGGTACTGGGGTTTGAACTCAGGACTCAGGGCTCTACACTTGAGCCACATCTCTAGCCCTCATTGTGATAATTTTGAACAAGTCCACTCCCTTTATTTTATCCTTCCTGCCTTTTCTTTCTTTTCTTCTTCTTCTTTTTTTTTTGGTTGTACTGGGATTTGAGTTCAGGGCCTGACTCTTGCTAGGCAGGTGCTCTGCCATTGAGTCCCTAGCCTCTCCTTCCTTTGCAGACAGTATTGGGTGGGTTTCATTATGAATGTGACTTTTGATTCTCTATTTGTCAGAAATAGACTTGTCTACAAAAGTGGGTCTTAATGTACTAGATACCTAGACACCATGTACAGTTAGTAACAAAAGTTGAAAAGCTCTAAAGAATTTATTTCACTCCCCCACCTTATTTGAAAAGATCAGGAAGATTGACCCTCTAATTTGTAGCCCTGCTTGTCAGACCAGACCCCTAAGTTTATGGTCCCTACCCTTTCAAGCCTCTATCAGGACATTGAGCTCAAAGACAGAGCACCTTGTGTCCATTCCAGGAATTCCTTTCCAG